ATTCCTATATATAATATGGATTTATTATATTAACATTAAGGATATTTTATATTATAATACAAACCATGATTATTTACAAAAACAAGTAGACTAAATCTAATTCTTATTATCAGAATGTATCAATATTACAATCTTAGTGTGTGGAAAATTTATAAGAAAGCTAATTTTAATGAAGTATTGAATATTTTAATTTACTGGAGTGATTAAAATATAAATCATAACAAGACTGAATTAAAAAATCATGATGATGATTTGGGTTAAATGTTTGAAATTTAAAAATAATTACGTTTTAAAAATTCTAAATAAGTTCTGTATAATCAAATACTTAAAGGTATTAATCTCATCTAAAGGAGGAATATAAGAAAAGAAATTAATTTTTTTCTAAATGTTCCTCGTTCTTTAAGAAATTAGAGAAATTTTAAGTTGGCAAAAACTCTATAGATTATCTATTAAAAATCCTAAAAATTAACAAAGTTACACTGAGATACACTGTTTAAGAGAAAAGACAAATGGACTTATAAATAATTAGTCTGATGATAAATTACATATATCTATTCTATTCAAAAAAAAAGATTAAATGTGAAAATCTCATATTAATAATTTAGAAAAATAATATAATATTTTTCTTTTCAATTATCATAATCATTTCTTTCAAAACTAGAAATATACTTTTTTTTAGAATACTCAGAGGCCATATAATGAATTAATTTAACTCATAATTCATTCCTTGTAGTATTCGATTTTGAACTCTGAATTCTTGAACTTTAGAAAGATATCAATTCTCTTAATTACTTTGAGTTTTTTAATTATATTCTTGAAATTATATCAGATACTTTTTCGATTTCATAAAAAGATATTTGATTCTTATTTCTCTGAAGTATTACATCTTTATTATAGAATTAACTTTACTTTAGAATTTAGAAGCTTATGCAATTTATTTAAAATTAAAATTTATAAAGCTTAATTTAACTTCTTACTATGTCAAAAATAGAAGGATAACATATTTTAATAAAACATCAAATAACAATAATTTATAAAAGCTTATAAGGACGAAAGTAATCCTTTAATTCAAAATTTATTTAGTTAATGCTAATAACATTGATATTGAGCAAATTTAACTACTCTATAAATCTAAATTATTAAATTTTTGATTAATGAATGTTTAATGAAATTCTGCGAATATCTGATACAATAATAAACATAATCCTAATAGGGAAGCCTTCAAAGCTATTTCAGTTTAAAAATTAGTCAGAATAAATATTCAGATTGCTTTCTTAAATAATTTAATCCATTTCTTATTCATTCAATAATACTTTCTAATTTTTAATTTTATCTATTCTAAACTAATTTATCATCGATAAAACAACAATCTTTAATGGGATCATAACATCAATCACAATCAATCCAGGAATTATAAAATAATACATCCATAAACAATGATCTTGTGTAAAATATATCATAGAAACATCAGAATATATAAATAAAAAAATTAATTAATTAACTATTAAGATATTGCTTTCATAATTTTTAATATTTTAACAACTAGACATCCTCTAATAAGATAACTGCTAGAAAAGTAATTCAATGAATAATTTATATAATT